ACTGTATTATTTTTCAGGTTCGGTGATGTTATGGATTCCCTGGTTCGGCAGCGGTATGGTGCACGCCACTGTATTATTTTTCAGGTTCGGTGATGGTATGGATTCCCTGGGTCGGCATCAGTATGGTGCACGCCACTGTATTATTTTCAGTGAAAGAAAGARWGYTGGGCCACTTGAACTGGTCCACTAGTAAATCCAGRCCGTTGGGGTTCTATATGGGTCCCGCTGCACTGGCGCTGGGCCTGGGACCTTAAACCTGTTTTGTACCTCTAGTCTACGAAGGCCTACGGGTGGGGACTGGGCCGAAGTCCACGCTGGGCTGGATCAGGGAACCATATAGGGAAGAGGGACAGAAGACAAAGGGGGAGTTGTGCAAGGTGTACACGGTGAGTGGAAGTTATCCAAGACGTACACCGCGGGAGAGAGACAGGTTCTGCACCGCGGGGGGGAGAATGTGCCCGGTGTACACCAGGAGACAAGTGTTGTACCAGAGAAGAAAGGTGTGCCTGGAGAGCACCGCGGCAAAGCACTGATCAGAGGGGGAAAGCTCAGTTGAGAGGGAAGGAGAAGCGGTGTCTGGTGTACACAGCGGAATGCGTCTTGCAAGATCAACGAGCGAAGAATGGAAGGGGTGGGACTGAGAAAGATTGGGGGCGGGAACAGGGTGTGCACGGCGTGCATGGTGTTCCCCACGGGATCCACAGAAGATTGGGGGCTGTCCGGGAGAGGGAGGACAGAGAGCCAGGCGAGCGCAGTGTTGGAATGAGAGTGAGTARAGAGGAAAGGGAGAGAAGAAAGAGAAGGGGGTGTGTCTGGCGTACGGAGTGGATACCGCGGGACGGCCAGTGCGCCAGGTGTACACCACATACAGCACTATGGCACGCCACAGCCAGGGAGCGCGATGATGGGCAGGAAAAACAGCACTATGGCACGCCACAGCCAGGGAGAGCGATGATGGGCAGGAAAAACAGCAATATGGCACGCCACAGCCAGGGAGAGCGATGATGGGCAGGAAAAACAGCANCGACGATAGAATTAAGAAAAGGAAAGAATGATGAAAAGTGATGGAAAAGRCGAGAACACATGATTATCGGAACGGTGGACTAATTTCGCCTTGATCAACCGCCACTACCTCTGAACCYAGATTGAACGTTTTTCCCGGATTCTGATAATTCTCACTGCCGCCGATGGTCAGGATTCCCTGGGTCGTTTTCCTTGGGTTGGCGGAGGGGCTACGTCCTACGGTGTCTGGTGTGACTCAGGCGTGGAATGGTCCCGGTGGTAGTTGTTTCAATACGGTGACTTATTTTCAGGACCGGGACTACTACGGCAGTTTTCCCAGGTTTGGAACCTTGGCGGCAGTTTATTTTCAGGATTCGGTGATGGTACCCTGGTTTGGCGTCGGTATGGTGCAAGCCACTGTATTATTTTTCAGGTTCGGTGATGGTATGGATTCCCTGGTTCGGGAGCGGTATGGTGCACGCCACTGTATTATTTTTCAGGTTCGGTGATGTTATGGATTCCCTGGTTCGGCAGCGGTATGGTGCACGCCACTGTATTATTTTTCAGGTTCGGTGATG